GAGCTTGATCAGAACACTGTCTTGCTCTCTTTCTTCGTGTTCCTTGTTTGTCATTCCTTCTAGGACCCCCACTCGTCGTGCCACTGTAGAAGTGTCCTGCGGGTCGGGACAAATACCAACTTGGACAGGAGCTCGAACACTGGCCATGGAGGAACGCTGATTAGCAGCTTGCTCCCCTGACCCCTGCTCAGACTAATTTCTTATACAATACAGGACCACCTGCCAAGTGGTGGCTCCACCCACGGTGGGCTGGGCCCTCACAGATCACTCAACAATCAAGAAAATTCCCCCCAGACATGGCCACAGGTGAGTAGAATGGAGGCGATTCCCTGAAACTCCCTCAACCCAGGTGCGTCAACTTGACACTAAAGCTATCCAGCACAATTGACCCCTTGTCATCTTGACACACAAACACATCACTAATTAAACCACAGCCTTTCCATTTCTAGTCCCCAAGATATGATGTTAACATTAATATCAGAACATAAGACAGCACAACCTTAAAAACCCCACAGTCCTTAAAAAAAATCCAAACACTTAAAAGATCAGTTTCTTTTAAAAGTCTTAACTGTGGGCTTCTGTAAAATCCAAAATAAGTACTGTCTTGTTTCAAAGGGAAGGATAGAACACACCTTAGCAAAACTGAAGTCCAGCAAAGTACCTCAAGGCTGGACATCTGGGATTCACTCACAATCTTCTGGGCTCCATAGGGTTCTGGCAGGTCCACCTCTCTGACTCTGTCATCCAGAGCACACACAGCTTGTCTCGAAGACCCAGGCCAGCTCCATTCCACACCTGCTGCTGACCTTGGTGGTCATCCCACTGTCCTGGCATCTCCAAAAATCTGGTGTCTCCACTGAAACTGAAGCTACATCTTCACCAATAACCTCTTCTTGCCTCTCCAGGTGCAAAGCCTTAGATTCTCTCCATGACCCCTTCGATCCTAGGGTCTCCCCTGCAACTGAAGTTGCAAATTCACCTATGGCCTTTCCTGGCCTCTCAGAGTGCCAAGCCTCAGCTGCTGCCTGTGACCCCTTCACGCTTTCAACACCAGAAACATGCAGGAGACTCTTACACATTACCAAGTCCTGCTCCCAGGTAGAGATAGAGGCTCAAGCCCCTCTTGACCACAGCTTCTGTTGCTGACCCTGAAGAAATACTTCCCAGAGGATTCCACCACAGTGATGCTGGTCTATTGTTACTGCTGATTTTTCAGCCCCAGCTAACCAGCATCAACTGTCCCACTAAATCCAAGGATTTTCTTCAGGTTCTGGTCTCTTCTTAATCACAGCTGATTCTACAGCCCTAGCCAACCAGAGCCCATTGATTCTCAATAATAGCACACAAACAGCCCTGATAGTTTCTGCTTCCCTTTGAAGCCGCACAAGCTAGGCTTCCATTATTTTCAAGTCTTTCAGTGTAACTGTTACAAGCTCCACAGCAACAGACTCTGACCACTGAAAGGCTTTTCCAGCCCAAAGTACCAAATGCTTCCACAATCCTCCAATGTCAGATCCGTCACAGCAGTACTCCACTCTCGGTATCAATTTCTGCTCTAGTTTGTTTCACTATTGCTGTGACAAAACACTCTGAAGAATACCAACTCAGGAAGGAAAAGGTTTACTTATCTTACATCTCCTGGGGTTCATCAGAGAGCCCAAGGTAGGAACTCATGGTAGGAACCTGGGGGCAGGAGCTGGAGCACAGGCCATTGAGGAATGCTGCTTACTGGCTTGCTCCCCTGTCCTCTACTCAGCCTGCTTTCTTGTACAATACAGGACCACCTGCCCAGAGGTGGCTTCACCCACAGTGGACTGGGCCCACCCACATCACTAAATGATCAAGAAAATTCCCCCACAGACATGGCCACAGGCCAGTCAAATGGAAGCAATTCCCCAAATGAGGCTCCCTCAACCCAAGGGTGTCAAGTTGACAGTAAAGCTATCCATGAAAGTGCTTTATTCACACAGTATATTCTTTGACAGTAAATAATGAGGTATTAACCTTTGAATTTTGAGAGGTTCCTGTTCACTATGAAATCTCTGATGTTTCCTAAGATGGGAGCCATTTGTAAATGGTAGCTGACATGGTTTTTTATCTATAGGTTTTCTCTACAATAAGGATTCTGTGATATTCAACAAGGTTGGATGGGAATGTAAAGGCTTTCTCACAATCATTATGTTTCTAGTTTCTCACAGGTAGGAATTAAAAATAAATTTTTATTACAGACTTTGCAATTTTATACATAATTCTAAGTTTTCCTCCAGTACACTATGAAGTTTTGTATTATATAAATATAAGCATTTGAACATTTTCCAGACATTAGATATATCCCTCTAGTATGGATTCTGTTTTTTAAGGATTGAGCCCAGGGAAAAGGATGTACCACATTCTTTGCAATTGTAAACTATCTCTTTAGTATGAGTTTTTGAGAACTGCTACCATTTAACATGATTAATGGAATTGCCACATTCCTTATATTTTCAGTGTCTCCCTTTATTGTAAATTCTCTGATGATCTCTAACAGTTGAAATACAACTACAGGACTTAAACCCTCTTCATTTGTGGGGTTTCTGCAGTATGAATCCTCTGATGTCTTCTATATGCCTAGCTCGCAGTTTGTCACATTCTTCTTATTGGAATGCAACTAAAGGATATGTCACATCCTTCACATTTATAGGGTTTCTCTCAGCTATGAATTATATGATGTGCTCTAAGATGAGACTTTTGTTTAAAGGACTTCTTACATTCTTCATATTTGTAGGGATTCATTCCAATATGAACTCTCTTATGTTTCTTATAAGTTGAGCTTATCCTAAAGGACACATCACATTCTTCATATCTGCAGGGGTTCTCTCCAGTATGTATTTGCTGATGTGCTCTAAGACTAAACATTTTACTAAAGCACTTGCCACATTCTTCACATCTCTACCATTCCCCTCCAGAAACCATATTCATTGATGTCCTCTAAGATGTGACATTTGACATTGATACCTTCTTCACATATGTAGGGTTTTTCTCCAGTGTGTATTTGCTGATGTACTCTAAGACTTGACATTTGACTAAAGTACTTGCCACATGCTTCACTCACATCTGTAGGGTTGCTCTCCACTATGTATTCACTAATGTCTTCTAAGATGTGACATGCGACTAAAGGACTTGACACATTCTTCAAATTTGTAGGGTTTCTCTCCAGTATGAATTGCCTGATGTCTTCTAAGGTGTGATATTTGACTAAAGGACTTACCACATTCTTCACATCTGTAGGGTTTCTCTCCAGTATGTATTCGCTGATGCACTCTAAGAACTAACATTTTACTAAAGGACTTGCCACATTCTTCACATCCATAGGGTTTCTCTCCAGTATGTATTCGCTGATGTGCTCTAAGATTTGACATGTAAGTAAAGGACTTGCCACATTCTTCACATTTATAGGGTTTCTCTCCAGTATGTATTCGCTGATGTACTCTAAGGTATGACATATGTTTAAAGGACTTCTCACATTCTTCACATTTGTAGGGTTTCTCTCCAGTATGTATTCGCTGATGTACTCTAAGGTATGACATATGTTTAAAGGACTTCTCACATTCTTCACATTTGTAGGGTTTCTCTCCAGTATGAATTGCCTGATGTCTTCCAAGATATGATATTTGACAAAAGGACTTCCCACATTCTTCACATCTGTAGGGTTTCTCTCCAGTATGAATTGCTTGATGTCTTCTAAGAGTTGACATTTGACGAAAGGACTGGCCACATTCTTCACATCTGTAAGGTTTCTCTCCAGTATGTATTCGCTGATGTGCTCTAAGATCTGACAATCGACTAAAGGACTTGACACATTCTTCACATTTGTAGGGTTTCTCTCCAGTATGAATTGCCTGATGTCTTCTAAGGCTTGACAGTCGACTAAAGGACTTCTCACATTCTTCACATGTGTAGGGTTTCTCTCCAGTATGCATTCCCTGATGTGATCTAAGATCTGATTTTTGAGTAATAGACCTATCAGATTCTTCACATTTATAGGGTTTCTCTCCAGTATGAATATTTTTATGCATTCTAAGATGTGAGGCCTCTGTAAAGGACTTGTCACATTCTTCGCATTTGTAGGGTTTCTCTCCAGTATGAATTGCCTGATCTCGTCTAAGATGTGACATTTGACTAAAGGACTTGCCGCATTCTTCACATGTGTATGGTTTCTCTTCATTACACACCCTCTGATGTTTTCTAAGAGTTGAGTTCTCCAGGAAAAGCAAAAAAGAAGACAGCATTTCAATATGGAGAATAAGTGATTACACACTCACAGATACATAAAAAACATGAAATATGCATGAATAAAATTTCCAACATTGAGAAACTTTCAAATGAAAAAAATAAAAATCTACACAGTAAAAGAGGGAGATAAAACCAAAAGTAATGTGAGAAAATTATTCAATTAAAAAAAGTAAATTAGAAAATATATGAAAAATACAGAAATACATGGATATAGAATCACAAGAGGCATTTAGACAGCTGAAATTTGTATTAACAGAGCTCTACATAGCAAGCAATAGGCCATATGAGCAAAATACTAAGGGAAAAAAAAAACAAACAAAATTAATCCTGTTAGGGAAAAATACCAACTCATTACAAAGGGAGGAAATTCATAACAATAGCAGATTTCTTGTCTACAAAGACCAGAAGCAAAACCACATGAAATAATGTAAAAATACATTTATCGTACTGAAAGTAAACATATTAACTAAAATTGGCTTGTAGAAAAGGTATCTCTTAAAATTCATGGAGGAAGAAGGTCATTTGAAGAAATGTACCAATTCCTGGTAAGCAAGCCCTCACTTTCTGATTTATGGAAGCAAACAATATACATAGAGGAGAAAGGCACACTCATTCATGGGAACAGAAGTAAAAATACATTTATCGTACTGAAAGTAAACATATTAACTAAAATTGGCTTGTAGAAAAGGTATCTCTTAAAATTCATGGAGGAAGAAGGTCATTTGAAGAAATGTACCAATTCCTGGTAAGCAAGCCATCACTTCCTGATTTATGGAAGCAAACAATATACATAGAGGAGAAAGGCACACTCATTCATGGGAACAGAAGTCAGGATACAATTGTAAAGAGTTATTGATGAACACACCATATCCCAGAAGGAATCCACCATTAGCAACACAGAAAACAATGTAAGGCCAATATTAATACTAAAAAAGATTAATACTAATCAATGATTCTAAAAGCCCAAACACCAACAATATCATTAAATGAAAATAGCCTCAGGTCACCAGTTAAAAGATAGAGTCAAGGAGAGTGGGTTCAATGTCAAATCTAAGTATCTCTTCTGTCCAAGAAACACACTTTACTGACATGACATCCAGAAACCTAGACTTAATTATGGCAAACAAACTACCAGCTAAAAGAATATATAAACAAGGTAGAATATCAATTCCCATAGATCATAAAGCAGACTGTAGCAAATATACATAGAAGAGATAAAAATGATCACATATTAGTAAAAAGAAATTTTTATAGAGAACAAGTCTACATATTTCTCCCCTTAATGTTATGGTTCCTAATGATATAAAACAAAAACTAAGTAGAGAAAAAGCTTAAAATTGATTGTGATATAATAACAGGGATCAATGTCAGTCCACCACCTTAAACTCTAGGTAGATTTTCCCAAAATTTATGGGAAAACACCCTCAAGATCTGAATTATTTCATAGATGAACAGGATTTCAATGATACCCTCAGATTGTTACTTAGAGAAAGTAAGAATGAAAATTTTTTGTATTTCCATAGAAATTATTTTAGAAAAGATCACATTATGTGTTGCAAAGCCAGCATCATCTAAAACAGATGTTTTTAAAAGTTGACTTAACTGCTTGCTTGCCCACTACAGGAACAAACATATGGCTGCTTGTCTTTGAGTAAATCTGGTACCAAGGACTTGTGGACTTAACCTTTAAAAGCTCCTATTCCTTCCCACTTAGTGCAACATTCTCTAAATTGGCTCAGAGAGTGCAGCCGCTGGCAAGCTAAATGAATTCAGCTGATTCAGAAAAAATAAAAAATGATCGTGTATTTTTAAACCATAGTGGAAGAAAACTAAAAATAAACTAGACAAGAAATGAAACACTGTGGAAATACTTGTTGATTGAGCAAATTTCCTTTGAATGAATTTTGGGTCTTTATTATAAACAAGATGGGAATTTAAAAATTCCTACAAATTTCTTCTTTGAAGAAAAAACTTTATGGATAGAAATCATAACCTCAAATATAGATATGAAACAAAATAAATAACATAGAAATGGAATTCAATTTTTTCCTGAAGAAGCTAAACAGTGCATTCCATGGTGAGAAATAACCAATAGAAAATAAATGAATAAATAAATAAAACACAGAATATTCTATGTGATTCTCATCAAAGGCTTACAATCATTTTCAGCAGAAATACATTTGTAATTCTAAAACAAAGGAAAATCACAAGGGATCAGAAGGGCACAATCATTATCAAAGGAGGAACAAAATGAAAGACACAAAATTTACTACTTTCATGTTATCTTAAAAACATGACTCTGGGAGATCCTAGCAGACAGCCTGAGAGGGTGGGTTCAGACTTCCTCCATCAGCGTAGCTGCTCAGAGCTCAGCAGACTACCAGAGAGTGCTGGATTCTGGCCTCCCTCTGGCCTCCAACTACCAGAGGGCTAGAGAACCCAGGGGACAGCTTGACAGCCCCCAGATCCTGTCTCGACCTGAACTTGGCTGCTTTGGTTACCCCTGAATAGCTGATCTGAAGCCATCAGTTCCCTTCAAAATAAACCTGAAAGAACCTGAACCCTGTACCAACCAGCTTTACATAACCAACAAAGAAAGGATCTAGGCACCCAGAAAACACAAACAGAAGCACACTTCAACTTCTCGTATCAGAATCATAAACGACAAAAGAAATTCACATGCCCAAACCACAATGAAAGAATAATGAAAAAAGAAAACCAAAACACTATGGCCCCAGCAAAGCCCACCAATCCTGTAGAAGAGTTCTACAGGGAGAACCCCCTAGAGATAACCCAGGACACTGAATTTAAAAGAACAGTCATGAACATGATCAAGGAATTCAACGAATTTAAAGAATATATGAACAAATCAAAGAGCTAAAAGAAGATAGGGATAAACGTCTGAATAAATTCACAAAAGAGACAGAAACATTGAAGAAAAGTCAAGCAGAAATGAAGAAGGAAGTGAAAAACTCAATAAGCCAACTGCAAACAACAGAGGAAAGCCTCACCTCTAGAATGGATGAAATGGAAAACAGAATATCAACACTGGAGGATAAAGTTGAAGAACTGGACCACTCAAACAAAGAGTATGGAAAATTTTTTAAAAACACAGGAATGGAATGCAAGAAATGTGGGGAACCATGAAAAGACCAAATCTATGGATCATAGGAATAGAGGAAGGAGAGAAATTTCAGGTTAATGGTGTTGACCAGATCTTAAACAGGATTGTAGAAGAGAATTTCCCAAAATTAAGGAAAGACATCCCCATACAAATACAGGAAGCACACAGAATATCAAATAGGATCAGAAAAGAAACTCCCCATTATACATCATAGTAAAAACACTAAATGTACATACAGAACAAAGAGAGAATACTGAAACTTGCAAAAGAAAAACAACAGGTCACATACAAAGGAAAGCCCATCAGAATTACAGCTCACTTAATACAAACTATGAAAGCCAGAAGAGCCTGGACCAAGGAATTTCCAGTTCTACATGACAATAGATGCCAGCCCAGAATACTATAGCCATCAAAAATGTCTATTATAGTTCAGAGGAAAAGAAAAATCTTCCATGACATGAATGGCCTGAAAGAATACATGTCCACAAAACCAGCCCTTCAAAGAATACTTGAAGCAATACAGAGAGCAGAGAGAGAAACAATTATACCTTGGGGCAATGAAAAACAAACAAAAAAAAAATATATAATCTGGGAAACACAAAATTACACAGAGAATACAATCAGCAATCAAAATGACAGCAACCAATACACACCTTTCAATAATCTTAAATATCAATGGACTGAACTCCCCAGTCAAAAGATAAAGGCTTAGTGAATAGATTAAGAAACAAAATCCATCTGTCTGCAAGAAATTCATCTCACCTTCAATGACAGGCAATACCTTAAGGTAAAAAGTTGGAAAAGAATATTCCAAACAAATGGCACTAAGGAACAAGCAGGGGTTGCAATTCTATTATCTGACAAAATAGACTTCAAAGTAAAACTAATCAGAAGAGATAAGGAGGGTCACTTCATTCTAATCAAAGGAACAGTTAACCAAAAAGATATTACAATCCTGACATATATGCAACAAATTCTGATGCACCCAAATTCATAAAAACAACACTACAGGACTTTAAGACACATATTAACCCCAACTCAGTAATAGTAGGGG